AGCACCAAGAATCTTAACACTGCTGTTTTGGCCGGCACAGTGGGTTGCTCAGATTCCGGGCGCTGGGAATCAACAAGTTGGACGTCCACTCAGAGACCTAATTTGAAAGTCGGTAATTACAAAGACGACAGGTGGATAAATTTACAATGATGGAAAGAAACCAATGTAAAACGGCTGAGAATACTCAAAATCAGAATGCCTCTCCCTCTACAGGAGATCACAGTTCCTCATCAACAAGGGAACAAGGCCTGATGGAGAACGAGTGTGTTCCATTAACAGATTTAGGCTTCAGAAGGTGGATAATAAGAAACTTCTGTGAGTTAAAAGAACAAGCTCTAGCCCAGTGTAAAGAAACCAAGAACCTTGAAAAAAGTTTTGAAGAAATCCTAACGAGAATAGACAATCTAGAGAGGAATATAAGTGAATTAATGGAACTGAAGAACACAATAGGAGAACTCCGCGAAGTATGTACAGGTTTTAACAGTCGAAATGATTAAGCAGAAGAAAGGATATCAGAGGTCGAAGACCAACTTAATGAAATGAAACAAGAAGACAAGATTAGAGAAGAAAGAGTAAAAAGGAATGAGCAAAGTCTCCAAGAAATACGGGACTATGTGAAAAGACCTAATTTACATTTGATAGGTATATCTGAATGTCATGAAGAGAATGAATTCCAGCTGGAAAATATTCTTCAGGATATTATTCAGGCAAACTTTCCCAATCTAGTAAGGCAGGAAAATACTCAACTTCAGGTAATACAGAGACCACCACAAAGATATTCCTCAAGTAGAGCAAGCCCAAGACACATAATCATTAGATTCACCAGGATTGAAATAAAGGAGAAAATTCTAAGGGCAGCTAGAGAGAAAGGTCAGGTTACCCATAAAGGGAAGCCTATCAGACTCACAGCAGATCTCCTGGCTGAAACCCTACAAACTAGAAGAGAGTGGGGATCAATATTTAATATTCCCAAAGAAAAGAATTTTCAACCCAGAATCTGATATCCAGCCAAATTAAGCTTCATAAATGAAGGAAAAATAAAAATTTTAGTGAACAAGCAAGCACTCAGAGATTTCATCACCACCAGGCCTGCTTGACAATAGCTTCTGAAAGAAGCACCATACACAGAAAGGAACAACCAGTATCAGTCATCCCAAAAACTTACCAAAAGGTAGAGTATCTCCATAATGAAGAATCTATATCAACTAATGGGCAAAATAGCCAGCTAGCATTAAACGACAATATTAAACTCACAAATATCAATATTAATCCTAAATTTAAATGGATTAAATGCCCCAATCAAAGACACAGGCAAATTGAATAAAAAGTCAAAACCCATCGGTTCGCTGTGTCCAGATCCATCTGATAAGCAAAGACACACAAAGACTCAAAACAAAGGGCTGGTGGAAGACTTACCAATCAAATGGAGAGGGAAAAAAAAAAAAAAAGGGGGGGGGTGGGGTTGTAACTTTCGTCCCTGACAAAATAGACTTTAATAGTAACAAAGACTAAAAAACAAAGAAGGACATCACATAATGGTAAAAGGATCAATGCAACAACAGGAGTCAATGATTATATATATATGCACCCAATATAGGAACACCCAGATAGATAAGACAAGTTCTTAATGACATATAAAGAGACTTGGACTCCGGCACAATAATAGCGGGAGACTTTGACACCACATTGTTAATATTCGACAGATCAACGAGATAGAAAATTAACAGGGACATCTAGGATTTGAACTCAGACCTGGAACAAGTAAACTCAGTGAATATTTATAGAATTCTTCACCCCAGGTCCACAGAACATACATTTTTCTCAGTATCATATTACACCTGTTTTGAAAGTGACCACATAATTGGAAGTAAATCACTCTTCAGCATTTGCATAGCATTTCACAGACTTAAATGAAATACTGGTTGGCTGTTTGTTATTTTCTTCCCTTATTCCTTCCTGTCTCTGCTGTTAAGCACAATTATCGCCATAAAAGAGGTTTTTAATGCCTATTTTTAGATTGCATTCCAGCCTGGGCAATAGAGCAAGGCTCCTATTCTTTCTACCCCTTTTTCTTTCTTTCTAAAAAAAAAAAAAAAGTGTGACTATTCCAAATGTTGGCTTAAAAAATAAAAAAAGTTGTCAGTAAAAAGTAAATATGAATTTAAAGTTTGGAAACATAAAAAAAAAACGTATAGGCTTAAGAGGATTTTTGTCCATCACTCACTGAACAAATATTGGGTACCTACTATGTGCTAGTAGGCATTGTGTTAGTTTTCTGGAAATAGAATGCTGAGATAACAATAGACTCAGTTTCTGCTTTCATGGAACACTGAAACTAATCTAATGATAAATAATAGGAAGGTGCTTTGGGAACTTACTTAGGAGAATTTTACCTAACCTGAAAACTGGATGAAGTACCAGAGAAGGCTTTTTCAAGTGATAGTTGAGACCTACAGACTGAAGGAGCATTAGCTAGGAAAGGGAAGGAAAATTGCAAGTAGGGAAAATAGTATCTTGGACGACTCTGAGACAAGGGAAACCTGGCACTTTCAAGGAAACGAAAAATGGCCCATAGGATTGTTATAGTGAACCCCAAGTTTCTCTTCAAAGATTCAGTATGTCAGTGTGTTCAGCTCTCTTATTCTTTAACTCTCTAAAGTTTAACTTCCTTGTACTTCCAGTAAACAACCTTCTCCTCCACAAGTTCTAATCAATAGTTCACACCTGCTCTGCCCACCACCAGAAGAGCTGAGAGAAAAATAAGTAAAGCAAATAGTTACTGAATATTTACTTAAATGTAGTTATTTCTTCCATTTTATCACAGCATGCTCGAATTTCTTGCTTGGGTTTAAGACTCTGAGGTGGAAGAACACTGTCATACACAGGATATTTTTCCAAATATTCAGTAGTAGGGCAAAACACCCCAGAATTTTCATAAATTCTTGGGGTTCCATGTGGACAATGATGTCGCCTGTGCAAAAAATAAACTGAAAGATTATTTAACCTTAATAAACATTAAGTGTTGTAATTGCATTTTAATCAGAGACCTCCAATAAACTCACAATTTGTAAATTCTAGAGCTTTACTAAAAAGAAAAAACTCTTTCCTCTGTAATGATGTTTACAAAAACAATCAAATAATGGTCTATCCCTACATGATGTAAGCACAACAATTAATTGTCTCATAACAATTTAGTGTCTTGTAACACTATAGAAGCTGAAAATCTAATAGGGAGTTTCCCATGCTCATGTAGAAAGGTTCCACATACAATTTAGGTTTCACCTAACATGTGTATTCACATGATAGTTTGATTCAGAACAGAGCTACATAAGGAGAGAGTCAGGGCACAACATTTATTTTGCTTGCATGGAATATAATAGAGGCAACAAAAGATTGAGTTGTTAGGTGGCATCTTGATTTGCAAGGTGGTTTCCTAACTTGGCAGCTTCTTGACCTTTGAAGAGTGATTCTGGAGTCTAAAGCTCTGTTGCAATTTTCTGATTGTGGCAGAGGCAGTGGCTCCCTTGTCAGTCCTGTTCTGTGGTAAAATTTTTGGAGGTTCCTCCTGGAAGCTTATTTTGAAAATGATTTCTTCACTTCTTCCGAGTGAACTATATATGTATATATATATTCCTTATAAATTCCTTTTTGCCTAAACTAACCAGAGGAGATTATGTTATGTATAACTAACAACCTTGACCAATATATCACATAAGCTAATAGTATACAGCTATTTAAGAGAATGAGGGTGGTCTTTATGCATGGTCATTGCAAGATGGTGATACTGTAAATAGTAAAAAACCAGACTGTAGAATAGTATGCTCAGAAGATTCTCTTTTTTGGTTAAAAAAAAAATCAATGCATATGTAAAACAACTCTTAAAGAACATTTGTTATCTGTGGAAGATAGAATTATGAAAGCAGAGATATTTTTGCTTAGATTTTTATATAACACCTCATGTATTTATTGCATTATTATAAAATAAAGACAAAACCCTTAAAAAAGAAAACACAACCAAAAAAAAAAAAAAAGCCCAAAGTAAAATCAAACCATTTCAAGGGTAGCCCTCAACATAATGAAGACTGAATTTCCTAGCAGTTGAATGAGAAAGGAACTTACGTTGGATATAAATTAGAAAAAAGTAAAAATTTTCTCCTGCACGCCAGTCTGCAGATTGATACACCCAGTTAATTTGGTGATATTTTAATCTACATCTAATTACGAACTGTGTTTATGATGAGGCTATCAAAAAAAAAAAAAAAAAAAAAAAAAAAAAAAAAAAAAACTGCTCGCAACAAGCAGGTGTTTTCTTTGAAGGGGATTACAAATACGAAGGGACTGACACATTCATATGTATTTAGCAAATAATGATCTCATTCGTGGGTCAACAGTGAAGCTGAGGGAGGAGAAGACTGTGTTTATAGGTGATGGAAGGTTGTTAGGCAGGACTCACAGATGGATTCTAGGTTTGGGGTTGCGGGCGGGACTACGTACTGCCTTTTCAGTCAGGCGGATCTCAAAGAAGTGCTGCCTGGACGGGAATGGGAATATGGTCTAGCTGGGAAGACAGAAAGCTGGAGATGAAAGAAAGTGTGATATGGATTGCAGACTCAGGGCCTTGGGCACGGCTCTTTTTCACCTTTGTGGTGTGGGATGATAGGGTGGAGCGGGAGGAGATGCACTCTCCCAGTCGGATCACATCCCGCTACTCACCAGCCTTATATCCTGTCGCTGTTTCACACATATTATTTACCTGGCCCAGGTGGCATTTTACTTTGCATCCTTAATTGGGAATCTTAGAAAAAACGTTTTGCCCCCAGGTAGCCGGCGGGTGCGGAGTGAGTATTCGCGGAGCGGGATAAGTGGGGATGTCGCTGCACCCTCGTCCCTTCATCTCCGGGGACCGCCACTCTCAGGGTTCCCGAGGAGCCGGCTCCGTGCACCTAGGCCCTAGGTCGACTCCCAAGCCCCGGCCCCCAACTACACCAGCCATTTCCTACCTGCAGGTGCAAATCTGCCACAGGCACCAGCTCCTCATGCTCTTGCCTCCCACGGCTTCCTCCACGGCGCCTCAGCACTTGCAGCCTCTCCGCTCCTACAGCGCCCGCCATGGTCAAGGCAGCAGAGACGCACGGGGACTGACGCGGCGCGGACTTCCGGCGGCGTCAGAGGCGCAGGTGAAAGGTCGAGCGTCCGCCGGCCCCGCCCCCTGGCGCGCGGGCGTTCGGGACTCGAGAGCTCTCGGCGGAAGCTCTCACTGTGGCCGGGACCGAGAGGAGGAGGGCTTTCGGGGCTGCCGTAGCTGGTGAGTGCGGGCTCGCTCTGGGGCTGGCTTCCTCCTCGGCCAGCCTCTGGGCGGTGTTGGAGGACCCAGCTCGCTGCGGCTGTGTGGCGGGAACGGGGGGCTGAGGCCGATCACGGGCTGGGAGCGGCGGTCCCCGGAGTGTCACTTCCAGCCTGGGGCCAGGGCGATCGCCGGTCCGTGTGGACCCGGGAACCTCAAAGAGAACGAATCCGAGAACCTGCAGAAATGAAGGGCGTGTAGCGTAGAGGTTTTTCCTTTTTATTTAGAAAGGAATGAATGACCGGCAGTGCACCTGCTTGGACAATACGCACGTGACCCAAAACTTTGTTCGGGCTCCCTGGGCAGCAATAAAGCTGGGCATTTGACCTCGCACGAGGACGAGCGAGAGTGTCAGAATGAGGGGCTTGGGGGAAGACTGAAGAGAGGAAGGGAGTATTTTCTTCTGCATCTTCTCTCCCTCCTGCATGCCACGCTTCCTGAAGTACGTGGTCACTGGCCTGGAGAAGTTTACCCGAGCACTCCCTCACCGGCAGAGTCACTGGTATCACTGTACACCCAGCCCCCACGAGCTGCGTGATTCATCGCAGCCTTTGGATCCGAAAGGATGAGCAAACTCCTTAAGTATAATCGTGGTAGGATATTGACTTTAGTGTTCCAACTGGTCTTAGGCCTAGGTGGTCTATCTCATCAATAAGCATTCACTGGGTCTTGGTTTCAGGGGTTTGAGAAGCCTTGCCACCTACCAGCGTTTATTATTATTTTTTTCTTTGCCCCGACCTTTAGCCTCTGGGCCATTTGTAATACATATTTTATTTTTAGTCTCAGGAAGTAAGTAACCATGGTGCTCAACAGCCTGGATAAGATGATTCAACTCCAGAAAAACACTGCCAACATCAGGAATATTTGTGTTTTGGCTCATGTTGACCATGGTAAGAATCCTTTTTAAATGGCTTATTTTGATAAATAAGGGAGGTGTGTCTCTATGTCTCAGTGGAGTGAAGCTCTGGGCAGTTGAGGCTGCGGTTTGTTAAGAAGCAGGTCTTCTTTCCTTTAAAAGTTTTCTGTGGCGTTAGGAAAGCCTGCTTTGCTATAAAGCATTTGAAATGAACATGGTTACTTAGTGAGTAGCATTCTTCTATGTAGCATACCATGTTTTTTAAACCAGCACTTGAGTGTTTGTTTTTGAAATGGCTTTACATATAAAACATCTAGAGTCTTGACATAATGTCCTTGGAGTCTGTGGTAAGTGATCCTATTTAATTCGTTAGATATTTATCAAACATCTGTTAAGTTCAAGATATTTTGCTAAGTATGTCAGAAGGTGGAGATTTATGAGTAGGGCACCAGCTCAGCTGCAGAGGACGTTTTAAGGGTGAGGCAGAGCAAAATGAAACAAACATGAGAAAAAATTAGACTCTAAGATCAGGAGAACTAGATGATCCAGAAGTGGGGGGTTAAGAAAAAGCCTCCAACATAATTAGTATTAGAGATTACACTTGAACGGGGCTCAAGATGGCAAATGGAGATAAACATTACAGGTGGGAATGTGTCATCAAGGGGAGAAGGAAATTTATGTGGTCAAAGCCCAGCACATGGGAAAGACAGAGATAGCTAACGCATGGTGTATGTGCTTCTGACAGATACTGCTGTAATTCCATAGCACTCTTTCATACTAAGCCGCCTCTTGATTTCAAACCTCTTCGTAATTTAGGTAGCCACAGCAAAGTGATGGGGATGGGCATGTGAAATAAAGCCTGTTTCCCGTCCTGAAGGTGAAGGACTAGTCGTCGAGGTGAAGAAGCAGACTGAGTCATATCTCATAGAGCTACTCATGCCAGCTGGGAACTAGGTTAAGAGTTAAGTGCTGCAGCTCGGAGATAGACAGCCTGAGTTCAGATCTCCATTTTTAAGTTATGTACTTTGCCTTTTTGAGCTTCAGTATACAGCCTCTGTAAAACAGGATGAGAACTATACCCACTTTATAGGCGATAGGATCAAATGTGTTAATGAGAGGGAAGGTAAAGCCTTCACCATGAAAACAATCATTAACATCTACTATTAGGCAGTAGGGAGCCTTTGGGGGAAAACAGAGCAGGGATGGTGCAATCAAATAAAACATTGGAAAGATTAGACTGGTGGACACACTTAGGGTGGATCCAAAGTCCCAGGTTAGGTGGCTGTTGTCGTTGATATAAAAGCTGAAGTGAAGTGAGTATGGAAACTGAAAGACAGTGGATCACTTTACAAGTGAAGCCAACAGAGAATGAGTTTTAGTTCAAATCCAGTGAGTAACCCTGCCTCCATGAGTTTTTATAATTAAATGCTCGAATTTTGAGAACATAGAGGCTGATAAAACGGTTTTATTATTTATGAATTTAATCCAGTGGAAAGTCAGTAGGGTGTAACAAATTTAATTTACTCTTTAAAATTATGTTAAATTGGTACTATCTTAGAAAACCTGTGATTCGTTTATTCAACAAGTATTTTCTGAAGGTCTTCTGTATAACAAGGCTTGTCCTGGTCCTGGGGATACTGCCATGAATAAAGCACAGTTCCTGCTTGCTTGATAATTTTAAGGAGGTATATACTTGATGTACTTAGAATAAATTCAGCTTTATTGAGTAGCAGAAAAGTGATGCTCTAGGATTATATGCTAATACATACTTACATGGCAGACAGATAACACACTGTTAAATATCTTCAGTTCTCCTACTGATTGGTCTCTGGTTTGAACTATACAGAGATTCCATAGCTTTGCTGAAGTTCCTAACATGCAATAAAGACTTGTCTTGAAGGAAAAAAACCCTTCTTTGGTTACTCCAACCGAGTCGTAGTAATTATGCATACCCATGACATGCTTTAAACAGAATCACCTGTTTATACCACACAAAATTGCATAGGCTTTAGTTGTATGTAGTCTGTTTAATAAAGGTAACTACAAATATATACAGAGATTCTTTTGTTATAAAGTAGACTCCGAGGTTTAGATTTGGCTACTAGGTTTCACTGGTTGTTACAGTATAGTATATTGCAAACAGTAGGGCTATACTGCAAACAGATATGAAGTTCCTGAATTTCTTTGATGAATAGGTATTAAGACAGTTTAACTAGCAAATGCCAACTGAGGCCGTACATGGGGAGATATGGCAGAAGAGTATGTTCGGTTTTTTATTGATGATGTTTTACTCAGTATGCCTTTCAGAGACAAAAATTATTGCTGTCTTTTTGTCATTCTGTGCTGTCAGGGGCATAAGTTGATACACATGGTCACGGTTCTGGATAAGGGATAAGTGATATAGTAATTGTGATAAACTTCATTAAATTCTTAGAGGGCAAATTATTGTAACTATAAAAGTTGTCAGATATTCTATATTTTGATTATTTTTGTGGTTTGCCTTGTCACATAAAAGTGTGTGTTTTTCTCTATATAAAGTCTGCCTCAATTTCAGAAACATTCTCTAAGAGAAGTTGATTGACAACTTTTCAGATGAGGTTGATTAGACCCACAGGGTTGGAGATCAGATTGCAGCATTATTAGAGTGCTAGCATCTGTGTCCTTCCAGATGATACCCTGTTCAAAAGTCTAATAAAATTCTTTTGTCTTTTGTCACCTAGCATAGGTAAATAGGAAATCTTTACTAAACCAATTCTTATGACCAGATTTTAAATCTGTAGGTATGATCCATCCCATGACCCCTTTTTAAAAAGACATAGATTCGAATTGATGTTGCTCTTTTATTTTAACAGGAAAAACTACCCTGGCTGACTGTCTTATATCTAGCAATGGAATCATCTCCAGCCGTCTAGCAGGCAAGGTATGTTATTATTTTATAAATACTTGCTGCATTTCTGTTATAGCTGTCAATAATGTAATGAACAATTTTATATGTTCTTTAACGATCCAAAAGGGTATAAAACATAGTTCTTGCATCTAAAAGCTGCCAATTTCTTTTGCAAGCTAAAATTGCTGGTGAGAAAAACAGTTACTTCTATATTGCTTTGTATTGCTTTATATTAATATTTTATAAGTGGAAAAGTGAGTTTTTGCAATAAGCAAATGATACACAATTGTGGAAGATTTCACATGGAAAAAGATTCTTTGTAGGTGAATAAGTTGGGTGGTTTGAAAAAGACAGAAACGCTATCAGGTGATGAGAATAACACAGATTAAGTCTAATTTGTGTGTTGTGCTTTGAGTGGAGCATTTGCCCACAAACTAGTGAGAGAGAAAATACACTGGCAGAGAAAAATGTATAAGATTACAGAAGACCTTGCAAGTTAACCTAAGTATCAAAGGAAAGCTGCTTACACCTGAGGATTGTGATGAAAATAGTGGGTTTTTTGAAACAGGAACTCACTCTTGCCCAGGCTAGAGTGCAGTGGTGTGATCATGCATGGCTTGCTGCAGCCTTGACCTCTTGGGTTCAGGTGCTCCTCAGCCTCTCGGGTACCTGGGACTGCAGGTGCATACCACCACACCTGGCTAATTTTTTTTTTGTATTTTTTGTAGAGACAGGGTTTTGCCATGTTGCTCAGGCTGATCTTGAACTCTTGGGCTCAAGCAATCCTCCTGCCTAGACTTCCTAAAGTGCTGGAATTACAGGTGTGAGCCACCACATCTAGCTTGAAAATAGTGTTTGAGGAAATAAAATTAAAGAGATCCTTATTTGTAGCTATGAGTTGAAAGGGCTTGGAATAATTTACTTGGCAGTAAAAAAATAGAGATATTCGTTTCCGTAATGAATTTAGGATATGATTAACAGGGCTTATCAGGTGACAGAGAATGCAGAGAAGAGATGTGGAAGCAAAATTGAATCCACAGAGTAACCCAGTAGACTTGAAGGTC